CCAAGGTTGCCTACCCCTGACCTAACCAATGCAAAATATTTTCTACACACACCCTCTGCCCAGAGGATTAATCATGCTTGATTGCTGACTCGAGATTTCTTAATACTTGTCATCATCAGGTTTGTATTCATTTTCATCGTGACGCACCCACTACATCAGGTTACTGGCATTTTACCGACTTGAAAAATAATGTTTCTTCCTTGGAGAAAAGCACTAGAGGCATTCAAATCAACTGGGTGCTAAGAATACAGATATTTCTCGACTTGCTATCACAATTGAATCCCAAATTTCTGTTGTTAAGTGAGACATTTGTTGAATTTTGCCCCATTTTACAACATTCTTGCCACAATTGTTAAGCGAATCACTGCAGTTGTTAAGTTAGTAACATGGTTGTTAAGTGAATGTGGCTTCCCCATTGACTTTGCTGATCAGAAGTTTGCAAAAGGGGATCACGTGACCCCGGGACACTGCAACCGTCATAAATATGAGTCAATTGCCAAGCGTCTGAATTTTGATCACATGATCGTGGGGAAGCTGCAATGGTCATAAGTGTGAAAAACGGTTGTAAATCACCTTTTCACTGCCTTTGTGCCTTTGAACGGTCACTAAATGAACTGTTTTAAGTCAAGGACTACCTGTACTACAAATATATTCTATATTTTATAGAAATATATTTTTATGATTTTTTTTTTATACAATGCTCTGTTTTGTTTTGTTTCTAAGTAGGGCATGACATGGGTTGATTTTGCCAAGGATCCTTTTTCTCTTCCTTGTAATGTTGTTTGCCTGAAGTGAAGATTGTAATGGGCCATGGAAGTCATGAGGCTGTGGTTATTCCTACATTTCTAAATAGTGATCAAGGATTATATTCTGATCACAAGAAAATGAAGGCTGGAGCAAATGGCTCAAACCAAAGTTAGAAATTGTAAGAATCAGTGAATTGCGGCTCTAAGGAAGCAATAAAAGAACAGTTGCCTTTGGCCTCCTGGAAAAGGACAACAGAGGAAAAGAACATGGTCATCAAATACAGATACACACATCAGTGAAATCTTTTATTAAATTTTACTGACACATAGTAGTTCTTGGATACGCAATAAGAATATAATCCAGTTTCCATTTTTCCTATTAACATAACCATTGCTGTATGAAGATGTTAGAAACATAGTTCTTTTGAGATGGGCAGCATCGGAACAAGGTATCTAAGGACCTCTATCTGTGCCAGTTTTGTCATGCTTGTACCAAAAAGCTGTATGCATATTTGGCAGACAAAGCCCTGAACCTACCAGAAGTGGTTCTTGGTATTCAACAGTAAGAGATGGCTATGACTCCCCTTGATAGGACAGTGTACAAGATGAGACTACAAAGTGTCACTACGAGAGAACTACAAGGAGTTATAGCTACAAGACTGAAAAACTTGATGAGAAGGTTGACAAACAGGCTGAGTTAATTGTATCTGGAGTAGGAACCCACATCCCAGCCACCGCTGCTCATGGCACTATGATATTCAAGAGTGCGCAAAGCTGTTTGGGATAAGGAATACTGATTCTTGTTGCATAGTTGCAATCCAGCATGTACATTTGGGTGATGGATAAGAAATTTGCAAGAACACATTTGTAAAAAGTTGAAAAGCCTAATGTTCATTCTAACTTTAAAGTTAGGAAAAAAAATATGGGATTTTATAGTCTGGTCTTAGGCATGGTTATTTGGTAGTGAATCACACTGAATCCAAAGACACTTCCTACTCATGAGCACGGAAAATTGTGCTGACACAGTGCTGGTCTTTACTTGTTTATGATGCCATTTTGTCAGCTGAAAATAAGCATCAGTATGAACCTATTATGAAAGTTAAAAATAGAGAATGAAAGGAACCTTGATTAAATATTAAGAAGCCAGCAGGAATATGAAGCTAGATTCCTACGGTTGAACGCGATATGTCCAAGTAGATAGTGTGCAATGGACACACAGACATAATTCTAGGGAGGAATGGCAATGACAAAGATTGCAAAGGCTTGTGCCCTTAGTACCACACTAAAAAAGAATAAGAGAAAGCATGTAACTTTCCATTTATGGGCATGGAATGATTCCTCAGAGTTAGGGTGGACTGCATGAATCAACCAGTACTAGACCAAGTGAAGATTGATGTTGCCTTGAGACAATGGATCAACAAGCAGAAACTTGGGATATGTGAGGCACATAGATGATAGACTAGAAAAAAATATGTTTGGCAAGTTTGACCAAAGTAGGAGATGGTAGGTAAGTGAAATCCAAATATCGCCTAAATATCTTTGGAAGACCTGAGTTATTTTTAAAAGTAGGTTAATGGTGAGCATTTGTCCATAGAGCAGTGGTGGCTAACCTATGGCACGCGTGCCAGAGGCAACACTCGGAGCCCTCTCTGTGGGCACGCGCGCCGTTGCCCCAGCCCCGCCTTCCCCTCACCAGCAGCCCCCATGGAGGAGAGTTGCCCCCGGGTGCGGCCTGCATGGAGCAGCGCAGCCAAGGACATAGCCAGGCAGTAGGGACAGGACTCCGCCCTTGTGCCTCATAGCATGCAGTTGATGCTGCGGGGTGTGGGTGGAGGGCGTGGCTGCCATGGCGCTGCAGGGCTGCCTGGGCGATCTGTGGTGGGCCATGAAGGCAGTGCGTGGTCCTGCGGGCGGGCGGGGCAGGAGGCGGGCAGGGGCGGAGCAGGCAGGACGGGAGGCGGAGCTGGGGCAGGGGGTGGGTTTTGGGCACTCGGTCTCTAAAAGGTTCGCCATCACTGCCATAAAGTCAGTGAACAAGACTCAGAGGCAACTAATTGACACACACACACACGCACACACACATACTACTAGAAAGAAGTTCCCTGAGAATAGGGCCCAGCATGAGTCTGAAAGCTCAGAAGACAAAACCCTCTGGTCCCAGTGATCAACCCAGACTGGATTCTGCAACATTATCCTGGGATGTGTATATTTGGCTTCATTCATGCAACCAATTGAATTCAATCCAGTTCAATAAAGGTTACCTGCATAGAATTAGGTGCATTTAGTTTTCCCTTTTCTGGGATTTGTTTTAGTCACTAGCAGCTTTGTAATGATAATGTTGCCACAGACCGACTAATACAAGGAAATAAACCACTGGTTCATGTTTTGAATCAGTGTTGTAACCAAATAAGAAATAAATACACAGAACTCAAATAACAATCTAGATTTTACAGAATACACACAACTGTCTTGATTTAACATAATATAGAAACTCATAAGTCTTAGCTTAAATCAAGGGTGTCAAACTCGCAACGTTACGTGAAGTGTTGCAACATATCGCAACTTTTTCCCCATTGCCGGAGCTGAGGTGGCCGTAGTTTTGGCATGACGCATCCAGCCCGTGGGCCAGCAGTTTGATACCCCTGGCTTAGATGAATCATTGTTTAAATATAGACTCTGGGCCTTCAATATCAACAGTTTTTCTGACATCTTTTGCTCACCTAATGAAAACTTTTGGAGAAAATATAGAATTAGTTATAGACTGATTGCAAGTCCAACAGACTAAATGAATATTGTATGTTGAATGACAGATAAGCAGTGGCAGATATGCTTATATGAAGTGTATATATGATATATTTTACAACAAAATGGTGCCCATTTCCAAGTAGTGTGTAAGTCTGAAAACTAAACCTATCTAAATTTTTTCATACTATTTCATGACCTTTAAGGTGGAATAGATATTGTTCCAGTATGAAAACTGTATTATGGCTGGTTCAACGATTGCTTTTTATACTACTTGAAAGTAATTTCCATCAAACTCAGCATATAATATTGTCTTCATAAAAAAAAAGTCCACAAAGCTTTGTTTGTTCCTCTTCTTGGCAAGAGACATTGAATTGCAACTTTATCTAATCTAAATTATACTACAATGTCCCATATTCTATGTTCATGCTGCCTTGTCTATTAAAATTGCTCTGGACGTATCTCAAGAGCAAGTTGAAGATACCAATATTACAGGCAGTCCTCAATTTACAACAGTTCATTTAGTGACCATTTGAAGTTACAACAGCACTGAAAAAAGTGACTTATGACCATTTTTCACACTTATGATCACTGCAGTGGTCCTGTGAGTTACATTTGGATGCTTGACAACTAACTCACATTAATGATGGTTGCACTGTCCCGGAGACATACGATCCCTTTTTGCGACCTTCTGACAAGCAAAGTCAAGTTAACAACTGTGTTACTAATTTAAGAACTGCGGTGATGCAGTTAAATGTGACGAGAAAAGTCATAAAATGGGGCAAAACTCACTTAAACAAATTTCTCACTTAGCAATTTTAGGCTGAAAATTGTGGTCGTTAAGTTGAGGACTACTTCTATACTCCCAAATAACTATGAGGATGCTGCCAATCTTTGGTGAAAGAGAAAGGGGTGTGTGTGTGTGTGTCTGTGTATATATATATAATTCTTTAAGGGGGAAACCTCAAAGGGGTTTATCCAAAATGCCCGCTCTGGCTTATAAGCATTCCCGCCTCCCTGCTAGATCCCCCCGGCCGTAACGCCGCCACCGCTACCCCGGACAGACGGATCCGAGCAGGCCCCTCGCTCCCGCTCTTCAGCCCCAAAGACGTTCCGCTTTCGCCCAGCAGAGAAGGCGGCCACGTGCCCCGCCGGCGGGTGGGTGTCTCCGCCGCGTCCCCGCCTCCTGACTCGGCCTTGCCCCGCCTGGGCCGCCTTTCTCCGCCTTCCGAGCCCCTCGTTTCCTGCTGCTGGCGGAGGCCGAGGGAGAAGGTGGCGGTGGAGGCGGTGACGGAAAGAAAAGTGCCCCGGAGCCGGAGAAGCGGTTGCCTCCACCCCCGCTCGTCCCCGAAGGAAACCAGCGTCGCCGCCGCCGCCCCTTCTTCCTCCTGCGCCCCGCTGCCTCCCAGCTCGCTCTCCGGCTTCTTTATTTTTTTTCCCTTCCGCTCGCCCCCACCCAAGTTTCCCCTCTGCAGCTCCTGGACCTTCCCTGCCTCCCACCCACCCACCCGCTCGCCCACCCAGGACAATAGAGCGGGAGATGTCCTCCTCCGGGGGCCACCAGCAAAGCCAGAGCCGCGCCATCCCCACCAGGACGGTGCCCATCAGCGACTCCTCGCAGCTACCTCATGACTATTGCACCACGCCCGGGGGGACCCTCTTCTCCACCACGCCCGGAGGTATTAACAAAAAAGAAAAGAAAAAGGGCAGGAAGGCCGGCGCCCCCGGGCCTCGCGCTCCCCATGGGTGGGTGGGTGAGCTTGGGGGACCCGGGCAAGGACGCGCGCCGGGCAGGCCCACCGGAGCGGGAAGGGGGCGTGCGCCGGCCTGGCTGGAGCTCTTGATCTCTCCAGGCGCCCTAAAAGGGGGTGCGGACGCCTGGGAGGCGGCGGCGGGGGGACCCCCTAATCCTCGCCCCCTGGCCTAAGAGAGGGCGCCCCCACGGAGGGCTTGGCGGGGGGGGGAAGAGTCCGAGGTTGCCCTCCGGAAACGCGGCTGCTGCTGCTGCGCCTCGTGAGCGCTGCCTTCCAGCCGGAGCTTTGCGGGGAAAGACGCCTTTCCCGCCGCCGCAAGGGGGACCCGCTTGGCCTGCAAGCGGGCTTGAGCCCAGGAAGGAAGGAGGGAGGCCTCGGCCGCAATGCCTCGGGGAGCCGGGTCTGTAGGAGAGAAAGCGGGCTGGGTCCCGACCGTCGCCTAGGCCTCGCCTCTCTGGTTGGGGCTGGCGGCGAGGTATTTGTAAACAAGGCCCCGGAGCCTCAAGACGCTGCCGCCGCCGCCGCGGCTGTTGCACAAGAAGAAGGGAGGAGCGGGAGGGAGGGACCGTGGCCGCGGGCGAGGGAAGGCGATGGACGAGGAGCTCTCCCTCGAGGAGAGGCCTGCTTTCCCTTCCGCGCCACCCTGCCCCAAACAACCCGGCTCCCGCGTGGAAATGGCTGGCATGTCCTTAGGTTGCTTTCTAGCTGCCCTTGGGGACTTCAGTCTAGCGCCCTGTCTAGGAATCATCATCATCATCATCATCATCTAGGCCAGTGTTTCTCAACCTTGGCCATTTTAAGGCATGTGGACTTCAACTCCCAGAATTCCACAGCCAGCATTGCTGGCTGTGGAATTCTGGGAGTTGAAGTCCACGTGCCTTAAAATGGCCAAGGTTGAGAAACACTGATCTAGGCCGAGAGTCACCACGTGCTTCAGGTTTCCCTGTGGGAACGCTTTTGTATTTTTTTTTTATCCAAATCGCGTTACTCTATAATAAGCCTTCGTGGTTTGGTTGCCCCAAAACCGGGCCCGTTGCATTATCTGGGATTTCGATGAGGCGTGGTGAATGCACCTCACGGGGAGGTCGTACGGTTGAATCACCCTAGTCGGATTAATTCAGAATCCAGCCTGGTATTTGTGGTCTTTTTATGCCTTGGACGTGCATTTTGAACCAGAGCACGAGATAGAGAGAGCAAAGCAGGATCCCTCAGCTAATGATTAGCCTGTTCCCCAGACGTGGAGCGAGCTGGTTTGCAGGCAGTAGAAGTGAAGGGAGGTGAGGTGTGCACGTGTGTAGCTAAATAGTAGAGCGAATTTTCTTTAAAAATGGTAATGTAGGCTGTTGTCAGCTGTTTATTTCTGTTACATAAAGCCACTCTGGGTTTGAAACTTGGCTGCTTATAGGTGACGATTTTTTTCTTAGGTCTAAACATATTAACTTGCTCAGAAGCTTTAACAGCTTTGTCCAACTTTGCCCCCACTACTGAAAACACTGGATTAACTAATATGAATTAATTCCAGAGGAAAAAAAATATATATGACAGTAATATGTTCTAAGAAACATTCTTATGGTACTTTAAAAGCTAAAATTAAGATGACATCCAGCTTTCGTTAACTAGACCACGTAAGGGTTGTGTTGTGATTAGACTTGTCCTCTTATCATTTGGTTCTCAGATGTCACAAGTCTCTTTTCTCCCCTCTATCCTACAGGTTGCCTTGATTTTCATAGAGGCAACTGTGTATTTTTTTTTTTTTATCCTGCTGAGTTCTATTAAACTTCAAAGTTAGCAGCTGAATTTTATTTTTGTGGCCTCTGTTTAGATAGCTAACAAACTGATTTTGTCTTTGTAAACTTGTTTTAAAAGTTGATGAGTGCCAAGTTCCTCCTTCTTGGGCCTTTTGTTTACTTTGAATTATACTTCCATATTTCAAATTATTGAAGCTTATTGGTAATGGGGGGGAAAAGTAAGATATGCTGCTTTGCTGATTTGACAATGACACGGTTTCTTCTGCATGCCCAAAACTATTAAGGTTACATTTCAAGTTAACAGCTGTCATGGCAGATAGCAGTATAAATTTGGAAGTTTATATACTTTCTAGAATGTCATTTCTTTACCCAGAACTTGCTTTGAATGGGGAAGTGCACAGCACTGTGAATCATGATGCATATGATAACAAGGTGCTTTTTATTAAAAGGTACAAAGTTAGTCAAGATTAGATATAAAATAGGTCTGCAGATATGTGAGTCAAAGTTAGACTTCTGCTTGAAGAATTCAGGGCTGAAATCCACACACCTAGAAGGAACTCAAGTTGGGAAAATTAGACATAGCAGACTTGTTTAAAATAATTGGCTGGCATAAACATTAACAATCGATAAGGAGTAACTGTGAAACTTGACAGTTTCTGCCAGAATATAATATTTTAACTATTATGGTTGTATTTATTCATTAACTGTAGTTTATTAAATACATTATGATATTCACATTAGGTGGTAAACATACCATGATATAGAAAACACAATCTTTAAATTCCAGTAACTTGATAACCCACAAACAAGCAAATCACGTCATGGTTTAACATCCAGAAGACATTTTGAAATTGATGGATTGATATTTATATTTATATTCTCTCTTCTCTTTTTTTCTGTTGTGGAATGATTGCTGCATGATACAATAAAGGTTTTTTTCTCCATTATATGGTTTTTGTTGTGAGCAGCTGAGAATCTGGGATGATTTGGTAGCATCCAAGTCAAATGTAAATGTCGTGCAAACCCAGTCAACACTTAATGTTGTATTCTATTTTATCTATGTAGCCCTCTACTTATGACTGGTCACTTAGTAACAGTTTGAAGTTACAATGGACCTCCCTCAAAACTTATTTACAACACATTCCAAACGCCACCCGTCCCATATTTTGGGAGTTTGGCAACCAGACTGAATTTATAGCCATTTGCACCTTCTGCAAGCTCATATGAGACTGCAACTTAACATTCTTTTGCTGAAAACCAGTGTTTACTTCCCATAACAATGGACTCACTTAATGATTACCACCAGAAGGTCATAAAATCAGGTTGCTCACATGATGACCTGCTTTATGATTGTCATGACATAAAACCGTACTTACAAGGCTCAGTGATGGTTGTAAGTTGAGGACTTGTAGAATACAATAAGCAAAGTTGAAAAACATTAGTTCTCCCCCCCCCCTCATGCTGCTGCTGCTCCTGGGATGCAGAAGAGTGGAGGCATGTCCATAATTTAAAAATTCAGATTCCCATTGATTACAATGAAAGAGATAATCAAGTATACTCTGCTGGAATCTGCAAGGCTTAAAGAATCCTAATGCTTGAATTAGATTAATTTTACCATGTCCCGCTCTGCAATACAGATATATTTTAATGATAATGTGAATGCAGGGCTGATACAGTCAAATTGATATTCTGTTCATAATCTTGACATTAATCCCATTTCCTTTATGAAGCAACTGACAGACTCTTTACTAATTTCAAACTTTTGCAGGATATGCTTGTTCTTAAGTGGAAGGTTGTTAAAGGTCATTGGAACTTGCATAGCTGAAATTCCATTTCTTTAGTTTTAGTTATTGCATTTTTTCCAGGCATCTGAATCTGATATTTCTCTGTATTAATAAATACAGTAATTCAGTGTAAGCTTGATGCATTGAAAGCTTTGTTTATTCAAAAGTGTGAAAATTCCTTTTTTCCCCTAAATTAGGATATATTCTGGGAAGGCGAGGAAACCCTAGCAATGCAGCATTAAACATAAATATGGCAAAAGAGGAAATACAGATATTTAAGGAAGTAATTGCAAAGAAAATTATAAAGCTGCACTTTATTAATATAAATTTCCTTATTCATATTTTATGATTCTGTTCATTCAATTATTTTAAATGTGCAAAAAATTATAATTTATAATTTAAATCTACCAGTGTAAAAGGTTGGTTGGTTGGTTTTTCAAGGCAAAGTAGCATCTAATTATCCCATCCTTACAAAATCTTACGTATTTCCTATAATGAAAAAGCATCAAATTCTAGTCCACTTTTGCCTCAGGATGATTCTGGATCATTCATCAGTTCTTAGCCCAGCCTATCATAGAGTTGTTGTAGGGAAAAATAGAAGGAAGTCCTATGATTGCCACCATAAGCTCCTGTATGAAAGATGGGGGTATAAGTTAAGAAAGAAAATAATTTTGAAAACATTGAAGGATATTTATATGTGTACATATGTAACCGAGAAGAACTGTGTCGTAACCAAAGAAATGTTAACCGCCTGTTTCAGATTCTAGATCAAAATAGTAAGGATCAGAAATGGAAGAGTACTGAAGGTGGCTATATCTGTGTAAAAAAGGATTTTGGAAGAACACCAACTTGTTGGTTGAGGAGTGCTAGCAGCCAGAAGAAACTTCGGAAGGCAGAACGCACACTTTTCCCCCTCACTTTTACAAAAGTGCTTTTGTTAGACACATTCCTTTCTCGCTCTAAATTTTGTGATGTTTCGTTTGAAAGCACTGAGTGTGCCTCGCTACTTGCCATGGATGCTGGAACCCAGCCCAGGTGAGCAAAACAAAAATTACACCAGGGCCTAGAGCAGTGTTTCTCAACCTTGACAATTTTAAGGCAGGTGGACTTCAACTCCCAGAATTCCACAGCCAGCAATGCTGGCTGTGGAATTCTGGGAGTTGAAGTCCACCTGCCTTAAAATTGTCAAGGTTGAGAAACACTGGCCTAGAGAAAAAAGTAATGAGCATCTCTGAGCACTATCACTTTTGCTCTGGAAAGCAATATTTCACCAGGCTTTGATGAGTTCCATTGGCTGAATATGTTTTCATGGCCAAAGTTAAAACTCTTTCCTTGAGAGAGTTCCCTGCTGACTTGAGATTAAACACGATTACATAAGTAAGTTTTCCATGGA